TTTTGGGGGGGAAAAAATGGGGTTTTTTTTTTTTTTTTCTCCCCAAAAGCCCCAGGAATTTGTTTTTGGGATTTTTAGAAACCCTTTTTTAAGGGGGGGGGGGGGGGGGGTGCTTGGACAAAAGTACACAAGAAATGGAACAGGAGCGCTGGGGTGAATGGTTGGGGGAGTAAGGAGGGAGAGCGCTCGAGTCTTGTAGGCGAGTTTTCTTTTGCTTGGCATAGTCATCAGACTGGATCGGCGAAAAGGTAGAGGTGGATCCCGGAGCATGCGAGGGGGGATGACGTGAGGGAGTCTACCACGTGCGAGGTTATGCGACAAATCGTACTTAACCTAGGAACGAGGTTGTAGGTTAACCCAACCAGACCTTGGGGCAAGGGGCATGGCTTCGGTGTTGTCACAAAGTCGAAGGTGAAGCCAATACCTGCCTCGTAAGCGCAAAAAAAACGGGCGTGGCCTTAAGCAACTGCGAGGATCTATCTTTACGCAAAAAAGGGTGTGCTGTTCTGTGGGCGGCTGTGAATTCCTGGTAGTGAAGTGTTACACAACTCACGGAAGCAGCAAGGGCAGGGTTTAAGAAATTCTGTCACAAAAAGAATTGTGAGGGTACACCGGCAAAATATCGGAGAAAATACCCCTTGCATACGCACCTGAAACGGACCGTCGAACGTGTCCAAAACAGACACACCATACCCTGAGTTCGTTGCTACTGCATACATCCCAGACACTTGATCTCTGGAAGAGATGGGTTTGTCGTACAATAAAAAACGCAGCGGGGGAAGGCGGGACAATAAAAAAAAAAAAAGCTCCACTGGTATGACCTTCCTCTTGTGTGACCCCGCGGCTGATACATCAGGTACATATTGTACGCCGAAAGACCTGTAAACCGGTGCCAGAATAGCTGAGACAACACACACATACACACACATACACACATTACCTGAAACAGACCGTCGAACGTGTCTCTGGCCCAATGGACGGTGTGCTCGATGAGGTACGGGTGGTGCTTAAGGGTGCACAGCGGGATCGAACCGTCCTCCGGGTCCACGCTGCTGCCGTACGACTCAGACTGAAAAGGGAGCACCACCTGGCGGGGGCAACGGTGGCACACGCCACGGATGACTAGCGAGTGCGGGTAAATTATCAAACGGCCGTGAGTTTAGACCATGGGGTGGCAAGTTGGAGAAAAGTGTGGGTAAATTGTCAAACGGCCATGAGTTTAGAACATGGGGAGGCAAGTTGGAGAATAGCGCCGTTAACGGCCATGAGTTAGACCGTTTAGACCATGACTTGTCAAGTTGGAGAGTATCACGACGGGTTCCGGGGCGGGGTTTGTGAAAAAAAGAATGATGAGAGCTCGATGCATTGTGACAAATAGAAAATCGACACACAAGACCACATCAGCAGCACGTTGCCGTGCACGCGTCCCACTGGCTCTTGCGTGGACCAATATTGAAGACAGCGGTGTACGTGAGAGGGTGGGGGTGGTGACAGGGACCACCTCTAGAGGGCGGGAATGGCCGGTTAGGTGTGTGGCTGACGAGTCCCATCACCTCTCTGCAAGGTTGACCGCTAACCTGTCTTACTGACCACGCCGTCTTACACGGGGGGTCATCACTGAGTGCTGTTCGAGGGACAGCTAGGGAACGTGCAATGTGTCGTCAATCGCGGAGCTATTGTCACAGATGGAGAGGGAGAGTTTT